GCACACTTCTTCTAAAAGAAAAAAATGTGCATTTATTATTTGTTTGCACTGGAGCCAGTAAGGCATTACAGCTGCGATTCGAGGATCATGGGTGCAATGCTATGGCTCCTGCAGTCTCTTGTACTGAGGTACAGACAACATGGATGGGTGTAGGAATGAATGGACTACAAGTGTGGTGATGACACTGCACTTGTATTCCATTGAGAACTAAAAGTCTCTCTGCTGTCAAATATGAGTGTAACATGAAACAGGGGGAGAAAAGTAAACTTAGCCTTTATTTAATTAAGTATAATAAGGGAATCAGGTATCCTTGATTTATTAAAACTAGCACTTTAAATACCAATCTGTGAAAACATTGCACATGCTGTGTGAGTAATGTAAGCTTAAAGAAGAACTGCAGGCAGAAAAAAACATAACCCTTGCAGTGGGGTTACCCTCTCTCGCTCCTTTGTGGTCTACAAATGTTAGACCTGTATTAGATGTGAGGACATTGACGGACATTTCACCTCCGGAGCAGAGAGGGAGAGAGGATGCGGGGACCGGCCTAGCAGCCAGGTGGGACTGAGGTTCCTGTGAGTATATCTTTGTTATTTTATGAGCGCTTAACCTTTGCAGTGTGGGGGTAGCCCAACTGCAAGGGTTACGTTTTCTTCTGCCTGGAGTTCTTTTTTATTCTATAGAGCTCTGCAAACCGGCTTCTTCTTACAGAAAAGCAGTTAAGATTAGAGTAATAAGCAGGTGAATGAGCCTACAGCTCTACCTACTGGCTGGAAATAGGTAAACATGAAATATTCACAAGTAATATTTTACATTTATCAGACCTCAAAAATGAAACATATTTTTAAGCATGTTCATTTTTTTTAGTCCTGAATAAAGTACATACATAGAAAACATATTTTTTTTAAAACCTTTACATTCCCTTTAATATAGTGTGGAAGTGTTGCCCATAGCAAATAGATATAAAATATAGTATGTTACATGAAAGGTTTTGGATAAAAAGAATATGTAATTACAAGTTCATATGGTAAGGATCCCTTTCTGACACAAAATCCGAATTATGCGTGCTTAGCTTCCATTTATGCAATGGAAATTAACAAGATCACACAAAATATCTGCAATGCAAATCAGTCACCAAAGTAAAATTAGCATGTGGTCTATCTCCCCTCTCGTGGTCACTTGTTGCATTGCACAACCAAGATGTGCGACTATAAATTTGCAAAAATACTTTCAGGGCTATTCATTAAAGGCTGAAGAGTTTGCAGAAGGCAGGAGAAGAGAACAATCTAGGACAACATAGCCGAACTGGAAAGTGAGCTGAATAAGATAATTTTCTGCCCTAGATTGTTCACTTCTCCTGCCTTCTCCAAACCCTTTAACCTTTAGTGAATAGACCTATTTATTTAAACTCTCCCTGTGACTGTAGTTCCTTCAAACTCTCAATAAACAAACTGAATTAAAAAAAAATAAACCTGTAATAATACCGTCCGTATCCTGGGATGGAGCAGAGGCCATAAACCAAATACTGTATAAATATTTAAAAACTGTTCACAAGATGCACTGGCCAAGAAGCCAACTGTGTGCAGGAAAATGTCTTTCTGTGCTAATGGAACTTTAGCTTCTAAAATGTAAAAATGTTTTTCTTTTTACTGTAGTTTAGCCCTTTCATGCCCAGGGGCCATTTTCACCAGCTTCAAGTGTTGTTTAACTCGTCAACAACCCTATGATTAATTGGCATACCTAAATAAATTTTCACTTCCATGTGTTGCCGTGTCCATCCCCTCCTTGTCCCTTCTACTGCTCCTTGTACTCCCCTTCATTTCCCTAAACCCTCTTAATTTTTCTTCTCTTTTCCTCTCCTCTTGGCTTACTGGGGGTCACTCTAGTTTATGCTTCCGCTCCTCTGGTTATTTTTGGACTATGCTCTTGGTTATTTTTATACTGTTTTTTGACTCTTTTGTGCAGCAGTCCTTGCGTGGAGCTCTGAATTGCCCCCCCTCTCCCCCACACACACACATTGTATGCCTGAAGTATCCTATTTGTGACAAACCTCCTTTCTGTAACCTGAGTTATATGTTTGAAAAATGTTTAAAAAAAAATAAATTAAAAAAAAAAAAAAGCATATTAGGCTTTTTATTTGGTAAACCGTTTAAAGTCTAATTGAAACCTCAGTTTAATTCAGCTAAACACATTCCTGACACATCAAAACAAAAAGTGTGCAAAGTCATACAGTTTGTTTTCTTTAGAAATCAGCCACAGCCCAAATAGAAAAGCCTGTATCCTGCCAGCAGCTGCAGTGTGTGACCCTTGCTCTCAGTGGGGAAGCAGTGTTCACAATGCAGAGGTCTGGTATGCCCCATACTGAGTCAAAGACAGAGCTCTCCAATCAGCAGGGAGCATGAGCTTTGCCGATGCCAGAGCTATAGGTTTGACTCAGTACAGGGCATGTCACACCTTTGCAATGTGGTCACTACTTCCCCACAGAAGCAAGGGTTCCACTATAGATCTGCTGGCAGAGGACAGGCCTTTCTACTCAGGCTGGAGCTGCTTTAGAGAAAAAAAAAACTTTAGGCCTTTGCACAACTTTTGCTTTGCTGTACCTGGAATATATATGTAGCTGAAGCGTATGTATACAGTATATTTAAAGGGCTTTACATAAAATTAAATCTAAAAAAAAACATGTTCTGTGTTTTAATTATGGGCTTACACTTTTTCTTTTTAAATAAATGCTTTACCTTATTTTATTTTATTTCATTTTTAATACTGCAAGCTGATAATTACAGGATTAAAGTGACATTAAACCCTCAGATTTTCTAACATAAAACAATACTGTAATGTGTGCCTTACTGTAATCCATGTTTGTTTCCTTTCTCTTTGCTGCTCTTCCTTTTAAATCTGTATCTGTTCTCATGCTGGGCAGAACTTCTGTTTTGCAGCAGACTGCCTTGTCTCTGGAATGGATACATGGTGTCTGTGTGTACGTTTGCAACCTGAGCCAGCACTACAGGAAGAAGCACTCAGCTGCAAAGGGAAGTTCTCCCCCAGCATGAGAAGACATGATGATGTAAAAGGAAGAGCAGCAAAGAGAAGGGAAACTACAATGGATTACAGTAAGGCACACATTACAGTATTGTTTTATGTTAAAACATCTGAGGGTTTAATGTCACTTTAAAGCTATGGTCCTGCAGAGAAGTGCTGCAACCTAAAAGGCAGCTGCACTGTCCTTGGCCCTTTGAATATCTGTGAACGTTCATTTTGGGCAAATAATGGGAAAACTTAATGCTCTTAATATATTTATTTTTATTATTTTAATAATAATTATTATTTTTTTAATATATTTTTTTCCCCAGTTCAAATGTAGTGTGTTGTAATAATACATTATAGCCACTAGATGGAGCTGAGAAGCATAGGAAGTACTGTAGATATTTTTTTTTGCCTATGATCCTTGTGCAGACTAGTAAAGTTATTGCTAGGTCCACTTTACACCTCATGCCCTACAATGAAACAAAAACAATTTATGCCATAGAACACAGTAAAGGACACAATATATTTACCATATCCAGGAGATGCATGTCACTGTTCTTAACATTTTTGCCTGGACTGAGAAGCATCCCAAAGCACCTGTTACAAAGGGCATATAAAATAGGGTAATTATTTATCTACGTGCTACAAATACGTTCCAGTAATTCTGTTGCAAAATCAAACACAGACTAACAGGTGTTCCTGCAAAGCAGAAAGTAAGCAGGTCCCTCTCCCACTGCCCATGCCACCGAACATTGCTGTGATTGATAAAAATCACCAACTGAAGTCTTCTTAGAAACAAACACTTCCGGGACTGTGACACTCATGTCCATCGCTGTGTTCTGCGATTCCTCCCACCCACCTCTATGTCACCACTGTGTCCTGCCTTGACGTCGTCAGTTGGAGGAACCATCGAGAACTGCAAAAAACACAGCGCTCCCGGAAGTGTCACTTCCTGATTGGACTTACAGCGGATTTCCACGTTTGCTGTCAAATTTGGATAATGCCAATTTTGTATTTGTTACATGTCCTCATTCACATAGTATAACTTAAACTTTGTTATATTACTACCGTATATACTCGAGTATAAGCCGTCCCGAATATAAGCCGAGGTACCTAATTTTACAAAAAAAAAATGGGAAAAAGTATTGACCCGAATAATTTTTCTAAACTGAATTTTCAGAATAGAATGTAAGTCAGTACTGTGCTAGCAGATTTCCTTATCAGTTGCAAATTAGATAAGAACAATCTGCGCCCTAACAAAGGATTAAAGATCTGGAACCATTGTATGTTAATTAGAGGAAGCGTGTCCCCAGTCTTTCTATGCGGACAGCCAGAGTTTCACTTTGAACCTGTAGAGAAGCTCAGTGTCTGTCCAAAGGCCTGATTAACAGAAGCATCTAAAAAGTAAGAAGTATTTTGTTTGAATTATTTTTAGGTTTGCTGTGTGAATAGGAACACATAACGAATATATAGTGAGTTTTTTTTTTAATTTGATTGCTGAAGTGGAAATGCACTTTAAGTGGAGGCTTTCTCTTCATCACCGCTGTGTTTGGTGGCACCGTCGGTGACAGTGGTTAGTATTTACTTTCTGCTTTACAGAGACATATGTTACTATATTTAGCACTGATTCTTGAAATAGAATGACATTAAAGGTTTACAAACAAAATGGGACCTGCCGCTGCAGACCTCCTTCTGGAAATGTTAGTTGTCTGGCTGTCATACTGACCTAATGGCCTCCATACTTTCTGGGTTTATAGCCTGAAACATGTATGCAAACCTGTTTTGTATCAGTGACAGACTATTAAAGCAAGAGGCATGACAGCCAGGCAACTAGCATTTGCAGAATGACATGTCATCAACAGCAGTCCCCCATGCTATATGCTGCATAAATTACAGGCTCCTCTTAAAGGTGACACGAGTTTTGGGCAGACGATGCGGGATAACTGCAGGTGAATACTAGAGTCTGCTAACCTGCAGTGGGGATAATGATGACACCTTACACTTTGATGCAGTTTCAATTTATTATAGGTCAGGCCTGGGAAATTCTTGAAAAATCTACCAGCCAGCTCCAAAAAGTGAGAAGCCAACACCACTGCGGCTTCAAGTCCGACGTCATGGACAACAAAATAACATGGCCGGGAATGGAAAAGGCAAGACCTCCATTGACAGGATCTCTCCGTTGATTTACAAAGATAGTGGGTGACCAGCATCTACCTATAACTGAAAACCCAGTTTTGGACACTTCAAAGGCCTCCTGAAGTTCTTTTCCATAACTTTGTAGAGTAATTACGCAAAAGGGGAACGGACCGCGGTATTAACATCCTTCACCGTCCGAGCCTCTGTGGAGCATTAATATTAAGCAAGCAGCGAGCGTGAAAGGTTCAGGGCTACAGAACTAAAATACCACAAGCAGATACGCTCCCACTTTCAAGTGAGCACTTAGAGTTCTGACAAAATAATGAGGAAATGTGGCGAACGGGCGGACTGCAGGCACATAAATGGAAAAACGATAACAACTGTTTGAAAGCGTGTCATTCTTTGTGTTGCACAGCGTGGAACAGGAAATGAACAGAACATAATTGGGGTGAGGAGAGGATCAAGAACAAGCGAGCTGATGAAATGATAGAAGCGCCATTCCTTTGGCCGGATCAGACGGTTTGGGAACAGAGGCCAAGGGACAGAGAATAAAACAGCGGTGTCACTCGAGTGAAGCTTCTGCATGCGGGAAAGGCGGTGATATGAGCTGCGTTCACCAGCCAATGTTCACAATAGCAAATAAATTCTGACTGCTGAAACCAAATAAACTCAATACCTGACATTAATATTAGACATGTATTGCATAACTGACATGCTGCATAACCGTGGCTGTGACTGGAAAAACTATGACAGCACATCAATGTTTTCAGCCATATTCAACAAAGCATTCTTATTTTAAAGGGCTAAAGCTTAAAGCCCAACTCTGGTACCCCCACGCACTGCCCCCAGTTTTCCTCTCCTATCCTGGAGCACCCGTCAGGCATGTATTTTGAAAAATTATAAATAGATACATACCTTTTCTCCAGGTCTTTTGGTTGGTCATGTGATCAATGGGAACCTCTTCCTCTAAACTCCTCTAGCAGTAGGCAGTCCTCTAGACTACTGTACTGTAAGCTCAGGCTGTCATAGTTACTAACACTGCTGTCTCAGGAAATTTGGAATAAGATTTGGTGATGTCAATATTAGGGTTGCACCGATACCGGTTTTTCGGTATGGAGTACGAGTAACGATATTTATATTTCAGTACTCACCGATACAGAGTACCGATACCTGTACTTCCGGTACTATAGAGCCATCTTCCAAGGCAATCAGGGAGCCAGGCGGCGTGTCATTACCCACCGCACGGCTTCTTGATTGCTCAGGAAGCCGACTCCATTCTGTTTGGCTGGCTCAATGCTGATTGGCCGGGAAGCCAGCTTCCCAGCCAATCGGCATCGAGGCTAGCCAAACAGATCTGACAATATGGTAACACAACCTCCACCCTGCAGACACCTCATTCCCCTCACATCGATCCTCAGCAGCATTCGTTACCGTACCACAGATGTCCCTCGGCCAGCTGGGCAGACACCGTTTTCCAAGCTCTCCTTGATATGCCCACGTCTCCTGCGTGTACAGCGCCCAGGTAATCGGCCATCAGCCTGCTACTGTGCATGCGCAGACTGCCCAGTGCTCTCATTCACACATACTCTGACAGCATCAAGCAGGCGGTGCTGGCGCTGTGCACACAGCAGACGGGGGCAAATCCGGGACAGCTTCGAGTGCGGTGTCTGCCCAGCCGGTACCATAATGACTGCTGCTGAGGATCTATGCGAGGGGAATGATTTGTCTGCAAGGTGGGGGTCGTGTCACCATATTATCAGATTTGTTTGCCCGGCTCGATGCCGATTGGCTGGGAAGCCAGCTTCCCAGCAAAACAGCATGGAGCCAGCTTCATGTTCCTTCGCGGCAGTGCCAGTCAGAGGAAATCTCCCTCTGACCGGAAGTTTCAGTATCGGGAAAGGTATCGGAGCATTTGGGCGAGTACGGGTACTCGCCCAAATACTCGGGATCGGCACTGATACTAGTATCGGTATCTGTGTATCCCTAGGCAATACGGGGCTGATTGCTGGGGTGGAATCTGTACTTCAGGATACAGTATAAGGATCTCCCTGCTTATTGAATAATTATTGAATTTTCTTCCACCAGTCATCAGATCACCAGGAATCAGGGTGTAAACTCTGACATGAGGAAGCAAAGCCTTGTCTCTATCTCTACCAAGATACCTGTCTCCACACTAAAAAACGGGATGGAACAAGGATTACCCACCGCACGGCTTCTTGATTGCTCAGGAAGCCGACTCCATTCTGTTTGGCTGGCTCAATGCTGATTGGCCGGGAAGCCAGCTTCCCAGCAAAACAGCATGGAGCCAGCTTCATGTTCCTTCGCGGCAGTGCCAGTCAGAGGAAATCTCCCTCTGACCGGAAGTTTCAGTATCGGGAAAGGTATCGGAGCATTTGGGCGAGTACGGGTACTCGCCCAAATACTCGGGATCGGCACTGATACTAGTATCGGTATCTGTGTATCCCTAGGCAATACGGTGCTGATTGCTGGAGTGGAATCTGTACTTCAGGATACAGTATAAGGATCTCCCTGCTTATTGAATAATTATTGAATTTTCTTCCACCAGTCATCAGATCACCAGGAATCAGGGTGTAAACTCTGACATGAGGAAGCAAAGCCTTGTCTCTATCTCTACCAAGATACCTGTCTCCACACTAAAAAACGGGATGGAACAAGGCATGGTAAGGCAGAAATTGGGAAAAGTTTAGTTGCAATAGAGCCTAAAAGGCAATACTGGTGACTGCCCTATACTAGCCTTTTTTTGGCAGAGTTTTTACAGTTAGGTCCTCTTTAAAAACAAACAAACACTCTGTGTGACATGGTGGAAGATTCCTTTGAAAGTCCACTCCTTAAACCACTTCAATTTACTTTCCCTACACTCCCCTGCAGTCCTGTTGCAGTTGCTGCAAAATATCAGATACATCCAGGTATGGGGGAGCATGCAACCATCTCCTATGATGCAGTGCTCAGGGCTAGCAGCCAATCACCAGTCCCAACTGATGGAGTGATGGGGAGAGGGGAAAGGCGACTATAAGCAGATCAGGGATGGGATTTAAAGAGTTTTTCACTTTACCCTGAAAGAATTCTTTAAATATTCCGCCACTGCCCATACACTTGTTCCTTGTGTAACCCCGCCACTTGGTTCACCTGTGGGAGAGTGGTGTGGACTCTGGCCTGCTTCCTCAGTAACTCTTCCCTGAAGGCAAGAAAATGGTCCTACTATCCTACCCAGGCTGCATTCACCCCGTTCCTCCCTTAGGAGTCTTTTCTGTCCGTCATGCAATTTCTAAAATCCATTTTTTCAAAGATGTCCAAAGCACCCAATTATTTTGTCATATCCAATATCCAAAAATATCTGCTCTATGCCCTGTCAGACAAGACTAACAAAAGCTGCAATGAAGCAAAACTTCAAAAGTTAACATTTAATTATCAATATTAAAATAATTGCATGGTGTCACATGAAAGGATCATCGGCAACGAGAGCAGGTATTAATGGATGGTGACAGTGAAGCTATAAACAAAGAGCTTTATCACAAGCACCATAATTATAATTATTATATAGATGGGATGAAGAATCTGCCTTATGACCGACTCGGAAAAATGACAGAGACCAAAATCTACTACACTGCAATCACTGCAGGCCATCTTTTTTCTAGAGGACCTTCCAGTCATCCAACACTGACTGCAGGGTTGTCGGGGACGAAAAACAGAGTCGAGTGAGCAGGAAATGACACAAAATCAGGTTTGGTGACACATACTACATGTCTATGTAACCCAACAAATAACTTCTCTTTTTCGGTCCCTTTTGGTCTGTTAATTACTGAAAGTGTTTTGTTTATCTGTTAAATCTGAAAAAAAAAACAACTGCTGATCCTGCCATAAATCCAGTGAACACCAAACGTTCTGTGTCCTCTGCCTGTCCTGCACAGTTATCAGTTATTGCATTGTTCGTAAGCTATCTCTTGGGATTACAGAACCCCTCCTCATGTTATGGAGAAGATGAGAGGGGGAGGTGTTCTGATTACCCGTACTCCGTCTAAGTCTGGAAAGCAAAACAGAACAGGAGTTCTATTTTGGCGGACCTGATCGTGATGGATCAGGAGTAATCTGATGTGAATGGACATGTGTCTGCTTACATCGGACTCCCCATAGACCCAACATTGGTCCAGTAAGTTCAGTTTTTGTCTTCCATCATGAGGAGGAAAAAAACTTGACAGACATGGATGTCACAATGGTGTCAGAATACAATAGCCAGCAGGAGCGATCGGCTCATCCATGCTGTTTAGTGTGGATTGAGGAATCCATTTAATTTCATTCACTTAGCCCCCAGGCTGAACAAAATAAATCTAATTTGTCTATGGGCAGCTTTAGGCTTTATTTGCCCCTAACCTAAACTACATCTAAAACTACATATTAATTTTAGACTATGCCCATCACTGCAGAATGTTGTCAACCTATAACAGCAAGTGAAAAATCAACAGATCTACAGGCAGGAGCAACTGGTTATAAAAAATGATGGCACATGGGTGGGAGAGGCTCATGCTAGAAGTACTACTGCTATGGAGTCATTTTCAATTCATTTTCTCGGAATAAAACACACAAAGTGAAAACTATAAACACAAAATCACACACATTGCCCTCACCTCTCCACCACCAGCTCCTTGTTTGACACCTGTTGGATAGTGATGACCACTTTCTTCTCAGTTCCCTGTCTCAGTTTGAAGAACAGCTTATCTCGATCTTTGGGTACAGGACTGCAGAAAGAAAGAAAGAAAAATGATTAGACCAACTAATTGCCAATACCAGGACCAAGAACAGCAATAAAAATCAGCCGAGTCTTCTAACCGCTCCTCATTCCCACTCCTTTCTGCAACCATTTAAAATTGTCAGTTCACAACTCATTTTTCATCAATGAAAAACTGTCCAGTGTTTTTTTGGACACCCAGAAGAAATTGACAAAGGTTTGGGACCCTTGGATAACACATGCTCACCCAGACAATTATTCTGATGCCAATTTATTCTCTCCCTACTTTACTCTTCAACCCTTTTTACTTTTCTACCTTCTCTGACCCACGCTGTGCTGAGTTAGAACACACCGTCCAATAACTCCAGTAGCTCACGTTATAAATTCTTTATATATTGTATGTTGCCAATTATGCGACTTCTGTGTTATTTGCATGTTCTATTGAATATCTTAAAACTTAATAAAACTTTCAAAGAAAAAAAAAAAAAAGTAAATTCACTGCCAAAGCTCACGCTCCCTGCTGCAATAAATAGAAAGATAGCAATAATTTCGGTCAGGAATTCTACTCCGTCCCCACTCTTCCCCACCATCTAAAACTAGAAAATAGGACCTTTTCAAGGTACGCACTATGCGCACCACATTGTTGGTCAGGACCCTGTATCGGCTGTTCTCTCAACAGGAGGTTGTCCAGATACTCAACAATTGGGATGCCCTAGAACATAGGAGGGCTAGCTCATAGGCTAGAACTTTGGTGAAGAGAGACTAAATGGCAGTGCCACAAAAAAGAAGTGCCGAGCACCCACAGCAAAGCTAAGGAATTGCTGAGGTGCTAGAAAATCAGGGATATGCAAGTATGCATCCTTGATGTCTACAGAAGCCAAGAAGTTTCCTTCATGAAGGGAGGCTATGACAGACTTGGTGGATTCCATATGGAATGTTTTAGGACCGAATGAAGACATTCAGGGCTTTGAGAACCATAGAGGAGCGTATGCCCAATTTTTTGGCTTTGGAGCTGTAAAAAGGTTGGAATAGAATCCCTAATATGTTTCCGATACAGGAAGTGGGACAATAACCCCTTGCTCCAGAAGACCCACAAGGGCTACATGGAGGTCTACTAATCTAATCAGTGACACAGGAAGACTGGAAGTCATGAAGCAAGGAGTGGTTGTAAACCGCAAAATCAGATATGGCCTCCTAAACTATGACTGAGGATACACCAATCCAAATAGTTGCAAAAGGAAACTTGTTCAAGTAGCAAGGTCTTGATTGGAACAAAAATAATCTTAAGAGAATGAAAAAAAATGGCTAGAAAAAAACGATTAAACTATTTGCAGCACAGAAGAGATGTCCGTCCTCTTAGGACACTAGCAATAAACATGTTGGGATTGGGAAGGGTTATACCAGGTGTAGGGAACCAGTCTCAATGTAGAGGCAAACTCGCAGTCTCTTCAACAAAAATGCCAGCTTTAATTCCAGACAGCAAACAATTGACAAAAAAAAAAAGGTTACAGGCATCCAGCCAAAAAATGTAAATTGTCATAAACAAATAAAAGTCTGCTCCACTGAGCCTTGCTGGGTATTAGCGATAGTCCGCTGAGCTGGGCCCGTTTCCTTTATGGGAACATTTACAGTCCTTCGACAGAACCCTGTCCTGCTGACAGGCTTGGCTCCAAAAACATAACTTGCTGCATTCAGCACACTGTCTCTCCTTGCACTGAGACACACACTCCCCCCCCAAGCTAGGTGCAGCTGCACACTAATGAAGTTCTGTGCAGTCTTCACTAAACTACGGTCCATGGAACTAGGAGTCTGTCCCACCCAGAGCTCTATCAGACTCCTAGTAACACCAGCCCCAGGATTTGTTTTACCAATACAAGGTAAAGAGCTATTTTTCTTTACCTCCAATTCTATGCTGGCATTACCTTAGATGATGAATCTAAGGATCCGTGGAGAAATGTATCTACCATCTATCACTTTTCCTGCCAACCTGGCAGGTTTTACTGGCACCATGTTACACAGGTTAGTAACGGTCTTTTTTTGCCAGTGTCAAAATCCTTCTGTAGGTCGGCAGTATAACCCAATTGTCTCTGAATACTGTGTCCCTCAATGAATGAGAAAGACAGAAAAGTTTTGGCTGGACATACTAAATAATTTAAAGCTGAACTCCAGAAATACCTTCAGTCTTGCACAGTTGTACCGGCTCCTCTCCTGTACTGAAAATACTTACTCTGATTGCACCACACACTGAGAGCTTCTCAGCGCATGCATTATAAGTTGCAGAACGTCAGATAGAGCCTGCCATATTTCCTATCTGAAGTACATCCAGCATAATTGAGTTGTTTCCTCTCCAGCCTTACCCTATTTTGCCATCCCCTTAACTAACGGGATTTCAGTCCTTTCAATCGTGGAAGTTCAGCATTACACGTGGGCGTTTCCTAGGGAGGTCAACATGGAAATACAGCCTGCCTAGAAACACCCACTGACCCAGTGAACCAGTCTGCTATCCACCCATCAAGGCATTTTGATATCCAACATAACAGCACACTGCTTGCATTAAAGCTGAGGGAGAAGTAATGAGGCAGGGTGCTGTATTGTTTTCAGGAAGCTATGTACAGCACCTTGCAACCCCTTCCACCAGCCATGCACTGCTTAGAGAACCACAGAGACCCAGCGATGACATCACCGAGTCTCAGAGAAGGCATGGAATGAAAACGGAAAGGTTTTCTTTAAAAAATTGAGTTAGGGAGGAATCGGGGAGAGGAAAATAAAAGCAGATTAAACTACAGCTGTAAGATTTTGCCACACTGTGTGCCTTTCTACCTTGATATTTCAGGTGGCACACTTTAAATGTACGGACTAAGAATAAGATGCAGGACAAAACCGTCTCATTTGTTGAGTCCCAGTGCCTTTAAGAAGAGGCTTTTGAGCTAGAAGTGGGCCCGGGCAGATGTCTGGGTTCTAGCTGGCACGCAGTTCACTATTAATTTCAGAAAGAGGAACAATGTGCTCTTATAATCCTCTTTGTAAAGAGCTCATTCTGAGATTCCCACATTGAAGTGCAATTTGACAGCAGAGTGCTGAAACAAGGAAACATGTTGCAATGTGAATACAGCTGCTTATCCTTAATAGACAAATAAGCGGCAAATAAAAGATCCTTTCTGAATAATCTATTTTTAAAGCCTTTCACAACATTTTTATGTGAGAGCAGAAACAGCAATTTTCCACCCAGGCCTGTGAATGCCGAGATGACAGCCATTGTAATCTGCCATTGTGACATTAGCATGTCGATTAAGGCACAGCTTCGGCAAGCCACAGATATAAAAAGATTGCACTGTCTCGCTGACAGAATGGCTTTTCCAGCTCGGTTTCAGGAGCAGAAAAGGAACCAGTAATGACAAAGTATAACAACAAAGTCAGACATTATAGTCATTACACAGCACCCATCAGGAAACACAGAGAATAAACTCAGAGGCATTCGTACATTGAATTACTCTATACAGCAAGCTGGAAATCAAAACCATCTCAGCTCACAGCTCCTTCTATTATGCAGACTTAAAAAAGAACTAAAAGAAATGTTTACTTATTAACCCCTGCAGTGTCTAGGGAGAAAAATAATAAAGAAATACAGGTAGCCCTTGGTTTGCGCCAGTTCTGTTTGCACCGTTTGAAAATAGTGCCCCTTTGAGTGGTCATGTGACCATCACTGCAGAGTCAGCGGTGTCTAGCGTATCCTTCCTCTGAAAACCTCAGCCGCGGAAGGATACGCAGGGGACCTCTCTACAACTCCACGTGGCTACAGTACAGAGTCTCTGACGGCTTAGGGGCTCTCCTCAGTAAGATAACTGTCGACACTTACAGACCTAGAGGCACACAGAGGTACACTTGGAGATATGGAGGTTGTTAGAGCAGTGCTGGGGGCACAGGGGCCCACTTGGAGATACACTGGTGGCACAGGGATACACATGGAGATTTCCGTACACAGGCACGTAGAGACATGCTGGGTACACTTAGAGATACACAGGCACATAGAGACATGCGGGTGGCACATGGGTACACATGGAGATACACAGGCACATAGAGACATGCTGGTGACACAGGGGTACACATGGAGATACTGTGCACAGGCACATAGGTGCATGCTGGTGACACAGGGGTACACATGGAGATACTGTGCACAGGCACATAGAGACATGCTGGTGACACAGGGGTACACTTGGAGATACACAGGCACATAGGTGCATGCTGGTGACACAGGGGTACACATAGAGATACACAGGCACATAGGTACATGCTGGTGGCACATGGGTACACATGCAGATACACAGGCACAGAGAGACATGCAGGGGGCACAGGGGTACACATGGAGATACACAGGCACATAGGTGCATGCTGGTGACACAGGGGTACACATGGAGATACTGTGCACAGGCACATAGAGACATGCTGGTGACACAGGGGTACACTTGGAGATACACAGGCACATAGGTGCATGCTGGTGACACAGGGGTACACATGGAGATACTGTGCACAGGCACATAGAGACATGCTGGTGACACAGGGGTACACTTGGAGATACACAGGCACATAGGTGCATGCTGGTGGCACGGGGATATGCTTGAGACATATGGAGGTTCTTCAGTGGCTGTCTCTCCTCGCTCTCTCTCCTTTTTTTGATCTCTAAACTTAGTTTGATGATACATACTGTGTTGTGTAGTTATTTTATACTGTGTATAATACTGTTTAGCATTCATAACATTCATTCATCTATTTAAATATAATGTCACTTATGGAATTTTTTTAGAGTGGCCTGGAATCTAACTCCTATTGACTTACATTATATACTGGGTTTCAATTTCCATCGGTTTCTATTTGCAACCATTCCTTCAAGAATCTAAACCTGACGTAAATTGAGGACTACCGGTACTCAACCAAAGCTCCAAGCTGGCAAGCTATCACAGCGCTCATTCCAGCCTGTACCCTCCTCCACAGCACATTGGACTCTTCCCCAGCGTCCTTACATCTATACACTGCGTATAGACGTGATGAAAAAGGCAAGCTAAGGGCAAAGGACTAGACACCAATATTGCTTGTAGGCTCTAAGCTCAGCTTTCTCCATTACTGACTTACTTGCCCGTACTGCAGCTGTAGCAACTGAAGCACCACATCGTTTAAAATAGTCCAGATATAGGAGCCACCTTCCAGGCCCACCCCTGTTATTGGTCACCAGTGGATTACACAAATTGCTGTATAAGCCTTTCGGAATGGCTACAGAGCTTTCTGGATGTGTCTGTTCTGGACATTCTCCAATCCTTGCAAAGAGCCTGCAAAGAGTATAATTACTGCCTCTACTTACAGGGAAATGGTGCTTTGGGTATATCATGGGGCACACATCTCCAGCATAGATCTTATCTCAGTTCATCATCAGTATACCAAGTGTGGTCATGGCCCATCGGATCTATATCATGCTCTTTGGGATACAAGTAAATCTTTTTGGAAACAGGTAGTGGGTTATGTGCAGTGCTATCTGGTCAGTTATATGCCCCTAGCTCTGTCCTGGGTGCTATTTGGTACACTAACTTTGCATGATTCCAGAATCCCCTCGAACTGCAGGGAATTGCTGACTATTGGTTAATTAGTGGGGGAAAAAAAACCCCCCCCCCCCCAAAAAAAAACAAAAAAAAACACCATCTTACACCACCAGTAGACGTACAGTGGGGAAAATAATTATTTGATCCCCTGAAGATTTTGTATGTTTGCCCACTTACAAAGAAATGAAGGGCCTATACTTTTTTTCATAGGTGTATTTTAAATGATAGAGACAGAAAATCAAGCAAAAGTCCAGAAAAAACACATAACACAAAAGTTATAAATTGAGTTGCAGTTCAGTGAGTAAGATAAGTATTTGATCCCCTACCAACCAACAATAATTCTGGCTCCCACACACTGGCTATGTGGTACACAGATTAGTCCTTTCAAATTTAAGAAGGTGCTCCTAACGACAACTCGTTATGTATATAAAAGACGGAATCTCTTTCTTCCATTCAAAACCTCACCACCATGGGCAAGACCAAAAAGCCGTCAAAGGACGTTAGGGACAAGATTGTAGACTTGCACAAGGCTGGAATGGGCTACAAGACTATCAGCAAGAAGCTTGGTGAGAAGGAAACAACTGTTGGAGCGCTTATTCGCAAATGGAAGGAATACAAAATAACCAAAATCGCCCTCGGTCTGGAGCTTCATGCAAGATTTCACCTCATGGGGTAAGGATGATCATTATGAGAAAAGTGAGGGATCAGCTCAGAACTACACGGGAGGAGCTTGTGAATTATCTCAAGGAAGATGGGACCACAGTCATCTAACAAACCATTGGTAACTCAAGTTATAACATTTGTATCATGGTTTTTTTTCTGGATTTTTGGTTGATATTCAGTCGCTATCATTTAAAATACACCTATTAGAAAGAAATGAAAGGTCTATAATTTTTCTAAGTGGGCAAACTTACAAAATCTGCAGGGGATCAAATCATCATTTGCCACCATCCGTATCTCTTTTGTTGATTAAACTGTTGTTTGTCTTCCAAATGCATTGGGTTAAAACTACATTTCAGAAGGAGATAGGCACAGATACATTTTTTTGATGTCTAGGAGTCTTTTATTGAATTTTATCAGTTTCCATGAAAGAAAAGCTTGTTCAATGTTTCACACTGACCTCATGTTGCACCACCAGCATGTTATCTAATGATCCTCTGATTCAATTATAACTGATTTAATAGCAGTTTCTATTTCTCTCTTCACGTTAGTCTTGGGTCCCGAGGAGCTGGACGAACGACGCTGCTGTACTACTTTATATCGGTTTGTTTAGTTGTTTGGGTGTGCCCCTTTTTTGCCGTTGATTTATGTTATTTTTTCTTTACAATATTTTTGAAATGTACACTAAAGAATGTTTGTCATTGTCTTTTTTGTTTCTCAATAAAATGTTTAAAAAAAAAAGGTCCAGATACAACTTTATTTCATAAGGGTCAGGGGACCTTCAAGTAGAGTAGCCACTGCATTTTGGGAGTCCAAAACATACCCCCTTCATCAGGGCTTAAGGAGAAAAAATCATGTATGTGGACTACAATCTCTGCAGCTTGAAAGCTGAATTGAATTGTGATGGGAGAACTTCAGGCTTCTCAGCAGCTGGTTTGGCAGCCATGTGTTCTGCATGACAGTGGCCATCTTAGTCAAGGCCTCCAGTAAGGAGAGCAGTTTGCATTTCAGTTCTCCTGATCTACTCCAGCATTTTTCAGCCACATCCTGTCTACATGTACTCTTTTTCCAGAATCACCTTCACCTCATATTTCAGAGCAGACGTTCTGATGGAGACAATGGTGGTCCATGTCTGCACAATGGCAGCTTGTAGTCTATACCAGAGGGCATATATGACAGGTTAACTACACAGAAACACAACTGGGAGGCGGTTGTCACCCTACAACAGGAAGTGCCTAAACAAGGACCCTCACTGCAAGATCAACAATTCATTTTCTAAAAAAAAAAAAGCTGCAGATTTTCAAAGTGTGGAAGCAGCTTTGGAAACTTTAGTACTTCTAGATGTTCCCTATAACAGCAAATACTTTTTGAGCTCCACTTTTAGCAGAATCTCTTACACTGGGTAAACATCAAGGACAGGGTAGCTCCAGAGGATTACAAAGAGGCACTTGCTGGTACCACAAGGTATCCAAGCTTGGCAGCATTAAACGCTGGGACGTGTTGATGAATCTGATAGGTGCACTTTAAAGAAGAATCAGTCAAAAATGTTAGAACTCCAAAATACTTTCAGGTTTATTTATAAAACTTCCACCAAGCGTACAGTTGTGCAGAAGCCGCTCGCATGGCACTAGCACCCCTAGCGTTGAAGAGTATAGGAATTTAGAAGGAGAACTATGGGGTCAGGGAACCCGGTATGTGTTCGCTCACTTCCCGGTCTACTGAGCCGACCTGTGACAGTCTCATTGTCACAGGTCGGCTAGAACTATGAGGTGAGTGAAAAGCACTTTAATATGCTCCTCAGAGCCATGTAGGTGTAATAGTGTCATGTGAACGGCATTTGCTCAGCTATAGAGTTTTCTAGAAGCTGTTTTTCTTGAGTGGGCTTACGTCTGACATTTTTATACGTCTACCATTGCTGGAGGCAAGTTCTGTGTAAAACAGAGTTACTGACTGGCTGTCTCTGCCTGAGCACCCAATCACTGCCTCACAAATATCAAGCCCACCCCTACACCCAAAAGGTGAAGGAAAGAGGACATAGGCGTGCGTAGCCTATTGCATTAGGGTGTGCACACAAAAGTACAAACACATGCGCAGTATATATTACATACATACACAGACCTTAGGGCAGTGGTTCTCAACCTGTGGGTCAGGACCCCCTCGGGGGTCGAATGACGATTTGCCAGGGGTCGCCTAGTCAGAAAAAAAAAAAAAACACCATAGGAATGCATAGCTAGATTCCTATTGGCTATTTCGCTTTGCAAAAGCCAATAGCAAACTAGCTATTGCAACCGCCCTCTGATGCTGCCAATCAGCAGAGGGGGACCTGAAGTTCGGCACGTGGAGCTGCAAACACGCCCGAGCCCATCCCTATCAGTGACAGTACTGCGGAGTATGTACCTCATACGTTATATAGCCACACACTTTAAATCCAATTCTTCTAGTTCCAGCTGCAGAGCCCGGTCCTGTCTTTGCCTATAGCAGTGGTTCTCAACTTGTGGGTCACTGTGCAAGGTGAGAGTCCTCCTCAGCCCTCTCCTAGCGCAGCAGTGTCAGTTCTCCTGCCACGCCTCCAGATGTCGCTGCAGCAGCCGCGTCATCCCTAAATTTTACCTTTGGGGGTCACCACAACTTGGCAAATGGTTACCAAGGGGTCCCGGCCCTAGAAAGGTTGAGAACCACTGCCTTAGGGAATCACAGATTCCCATCTCTTCAACTGTCCTTTACCTCTTCTAGAAAGAGGTGCAGTAACAAAGCAGGGAGCCTGGCATGTGACCACCCGCCTGCCTTCATGATTGGATGGGAAGCTGCAGCCACAATCCCTCACAGCTTCCCAGGCCCGGAGGACTGCGGCTGTTATGTGAGAAATGTAGGTGGCAAGTGCTGCTGTGCTCTGTATCACTGAGCCGATCACAGAGATCTTTATGATCTCTCCACCGGCTCAGTGACTAAAAAACACGATGCCCGCTGCTGCAGTTTCTGTGTTGCGCTCAGGGTGATGAGGGTCTGTGCCCAGGCACACCCTATGCATACGCCTATGGAAAAGGAAGACCTCTCTAGAAAATAGGTAACATTGTCAATTTAGAGTTTAATTTTTTTAAATAGCAGCAAGTGTCCGTGGCACACCTTGAAACAATTTTTACTGTTAGAAGACCTTGAAAACCTCTGCCAAGTGATGATGAAAATACGCGAGTGTAAGGGTACATAGGATGCCAGATGCCCAACTGCTATAACAGGCATCTCCAGCTATAATTAGAAGGAATCAGTGCAGTGATTGATCTACAAAATTAATGTGACTGCCATAGAGGTAGAAATAATTTTCCGCCTCCCAGTGTGGCGATAAATTTACAAGCTGCCTCACTTACACTTTTGCTTTTCTTTCTTCTGGATCAACACTATATGACTTGGGACATGAACTTGATGCACTGTTCAACTTTACTGTGTTCATCCAACCTACGTTCATATACATACTACAGTGTGTATGTCTATGACACTGACACACACACACACACCATATTTAGCTGTTTGCCTGGTGTTTCCCTTTAAAACAATATCCAGCTTTTCAGATAGCCTGGAGGAGTTTTTCTTTAAGCGTGACGTTACCTGAAATTGCCTTTGCCATCATCTTCCTTCACCTCTAGAGAGACCATGAAGGTGAACACATCGCTGTCTGGGGTGGGGAGGGTGGAATCCTTCACGTCGGACGTCTGCTTACATGACCGCTTGAAAGCTGTAAAAAAGCTGTACAGTATTCTGCTCACCTACAGAGAGATCAGAAAAAAGTACATGATTTACCTTTAAAAAAGGGACAAATTCAGTCTACAAGATACCCACCAGAACCAATGAGGGGGTTACTGAACTCCTTAAGTGTTCATTAAAAGAGAACTCGATAATAAGCGAAGTGCAATTCCTGCACTTTACAAATCTGTATTACTGTCTGAGCAGCTTTTTTATATAGGTCCATTTGCTTGCAAGAGCCATGAAGGATAAAGAAAGGTATCACAGAAAAGCTGGATTAGCCCTGTCATCTTGCTAAATTGTAGAGATGACCATACATACATACATACTACAATCTGATTGTAAAATCTCCTTTAGATCTACCAATAACTATTTAGGACATGAGACCTATATGACTGGATGCAAATAGAATACAGTAGATTGGGGTGGACAAATTCATACAGAATTCAGAAACCAGTATATCAATCCAGGAGCCAGCCGGATTTTTTTTTAAGGGCCAGCTCTTTTGGACAACAAATACAGAAAACCTGAAAAGTTAGGCACAGCTGTAATTTTTAAGGAGCATCACGATCTGGCTCCTGGGATTTATCCAGCCCTGGAATAGATAATTGTTTCTCCACCAGTTCCTCGTGAGGCTGGTAGGGGCAACAGTGGATTGATCTCCTCCCTACACGGACCATCAATGCAAGGAGGCAATATACGGTACCACTAATGTAATAGGCCACTTTTAACACGGACCACTAATGTTAGAGGACACCCCAATTTTTAATTAAAAAATTCCTTCAGCTTATTGATTATTCCAAAGTACCATGAGCTGTAGGTATTACCCCTTTTAGCAGGGGTTCTTCGAAAACCTGAACCTTATTTCAAAGGCTTCTACAGGGTAAAAAAAAGTTGTGAAAAGCTGTAACAGATTGTTTAGGTCGGTCCTCACCTTACACAGTTTTGGTCAATCTAAAAGTAAACTGTACAAAGATTATACAATCAGGTTGTGACGCTTAAAAAGAATAAAGTGTTCCTGCAAGGGCAAAGCAACACGTTCACTTTAATGCCTCTCTCCTCTCAGATTATAGCCTACTCCCATGTCACAGACCTAGGTCAGGGCTGGACAAATCCCAGGAGCCAGGTAGCCAATGATTTTTAGAATCATACCTGGCCCCCAACGTTTGAGGTTTTCTCTAGTTGTTGTCAATGAAGCTGGCTCCTATAAAACAAATCTTTCTGGCTACTGGACTGGTCAGACTGGCTCCTAAATTCTATAGCCTTTTGTCCACCTCTGCACTAGGTCAATCGCGAGGCACCAGGGCTGTCTCCATGCCTGGGTTAAAACATGTATTTTCTTCCCAACTGTTGGCTTAACAAAGTGCAGGAAGAGAAGGAAAAGTGACAATACTTTAAAGTAAACCTGTTCTGTTGCAATACAAGGACAAATCACAGATTCACTTTAACCTTTAAATAAATGTGAAACATACAAACTGGCACTGAGGATTAACTTCTCATGTGCAACCACATATCTTGTTTGTTCAATGCAGAGCAAACAGATATAAGTAGGATGACTTCTGAGCTTTGATCTCATAGCCATCAGTTGGAAGATAAGCAGAACTGTTGTGTCTGAAGGGACAAGTGTTTGTTGTGCAGTGACTGTACACCACAAACTATGTAGTCCACATTGTTTTATAATCCATGTCATTTCACATTTTATAGACATTTTCCCCTTTCCATTCTTTGTGGTGTGCATGGGGAAATTGAGCGTTTACTACAAGGTTATGGCCAGCTTGAGACTTCCCACGTCCTTATGCACTTCTCTGGAACTTCCACTTTCTAATTTGCACTCCAAACTCTTCAGAAACTCTTCAGACACGCCTCAAATATACTTTTCAGTCCATGACCTATCACCGCTTCCTTGTCCACGTTATGAAAAGGTTCACACTTTCACCTACTAAATAGCTCACCTGGTGCCTCATATATAAAGAACGATTGTGCCAAGAGAAATATGGAGGCTCTTTGTTGGTCTCTATATCTGAAAGGCTGATCTGGCTTCCGTGCTTTCTGTATCACTGATCCAAAACAAGTATCCCAAGGAACAGTTCTAAGTTTGCTCTGATTTTACTTGCTGCATGGTTGTTCTAGGTCAGTGACTAAGGAATTAAAGGAGAACTATGAGGTGAGTGCTTTTCACTCACCTCATAGTTCTAGCCGACCTGTGACAATGAGACTATCACAGGTCGGCTCAGTAGATCGGGAAGTGAGCGAACACATACCGGCGCTCGCACACTTCTCGATCCTGTCACAGCTCTCTGCTGTGACAGGGGAGTGGCTGGATTCCCCCCTCCCTCCGATCCTCCAGCACTGACTGGCGGAACGGACGGGGGAAGGGGCGGGTACAGCTGGCTCTGCCTCTAGGTAGGCAGAGCAAGCTGTCACTCACGCAGCTGGGCGGATCCAGACATAATTGTCGGGATCCGCTTCAGCTGCGGTGTCTCAGCATACCGTGAGCTGTAGCTCGCGGTATACTGTGGCGTCTCAGTATAACGCGAGCTGTAGCTCGCGGTATACTGAGCTTAGGGTGACGAGAGGACGCTAGTTTGTGTCCTCCCGTTACCCTAAGGAGAACTATGGGGAAAAGTCTGAACCCCATAGTTCTTCTTTAAGCCAAAGGCAAACATTCCGCTGACAATTTGAGCAGAGAACCAGCAATGGCTGCCAGTGTATTTCAGGTTTTCTATCATGTTGTACAGGGAGGGTCCTCTCCATTTGATCTCATACTGTTGCATGCCACGCTAAGTAGCTGTGTGCATATTCTTTATATCTTTTTCTGTGGGTCTCTGTAATATTTATTCCCGTTTACACAGAGCTATGACAGATGATGCTATATAAAATAACACCCCAGTTAAAATTCATAAGCACACTCTAAGCAGCGTTACTGTAAAATACTAGTAAAGGTCGTGTTTGTCAGGCACTCAGTCACAAAAAGAAATATCTTTCACATCTCATTTTAATGAGTGCAAAAATGTAATAAGAAAACCACAAGTATGTTAATCAAATCCCATGGCAGTTCTGTGTAACAACTTCTCAGACAGACGTGTGTTACAAAACTGTGTGCTGCAAATTTCACAAAAAACATAATTATAACTACTCGGGTAAAACATTTTCTTTAAAGATTTCCTTTAAAGTGTAAAGCTGGCCATAGTTATATTTTTTTTTCAACCTGCAGGCTGAACTACAAAAATAGAACAGATTCCTCCATCCTTGCTACACAGCATGAATGGATGAATCCCCCGCGGTGGTCTTTTTTATTCTGACAGGGGTGGGCATGCCACTCTAAGAATACCAGAACAGTGATGGCAGTAAATCAACTGCCATCACTGTTCTGGTATTCTGAGGCTTATGTCACTGTTCACTCAAATATTTTCCATCTGGCTTCTTCGATTTTCTGATCGAAGAGAGCCGGACGGAAGGGTGCAGACAGGGCCACCCACTGAACGAATTTTGGTCAGCTTATTAAAGCGGACCTTTAAACTCAAAAATCAAATTCTACCAATGCATCCCTCTATGTATGATGATTAATAATAACATAGACATGTCAGGTGTAAGATGCTGTAATTTGTAAATATTTACACTTGCAGAGCATTCACTTCCTGCTTTGAAAGGGCAAAATGACTTGTTTGCCAAAGCAATGCACACTGGGATTGACTTATCAGCAGAGCATTGCTGGGATATCTCATCTGTAATCTCAAGAGATCTCAGGGAAAGGTATTTTCCTCCCGTGAGATGATGTGCATGGTCACATGTTCTAGTCACATGTCTAGTCACATGTGCCAGAACTTCAGGAAGTAATAGGAGAGCTAGCAATCTGCCCTTAGTAAACATGTCTACTGTCAGAAGACTGGGGAAGAAAAGAGAAATGAGGTATGCAAAGAATACAAAGCCGGCAATTATCTATAAGTATGTGTTGGTGGATTGTCATTAATAAACATGTCTAACAGTTTGTTTGTTGTTATTTCAAAGAAATGGGTAAAGGTCCATTTTAAGCGTATAGGCAGCTTAACTTGACCAGAAAACTTTATTGTACATTTTCCTGTAAAGTCTATCACAGCAATTCCTTTTCTAGGTTGGCAAAACTTACTACAGCTCACCTGCAGTGTTGCCACCCTTTCCTATGCACCCAGAGGGGCACTACAAGTAACCATGCCAAAGCACAGTGTGCTGGCACATTCTGCAGTAGTCACCATGGTAAAACTGTGATGTTCGTTTGCAGCTGGAGTGTGTGCACATTCACAGGAAGTGCATACAACAAGACTACAGGATGTGTATAGCACAGAGAGAGAAAACATTAACAATGTAAAGGGGAAACTGCATTTTTTTAAGTAATGCAATCCTGTTTTACTTAAAGTGTTCTACAAAGCATTAATTTTTGAGACAAGCAAACGCCACTGCTACTGCTAAGAACCCAGGTGCCCTCCACATGCTCACCAGCAACCTGAGCTTTGTCCAGACTTGCAAAAAGTCTGATGTACTGTATTTGTGCTTTGATTTTAAATAAATCTCCCAATATTGCACTTGCTAGACCAGGGGTGGGCAACTCTGGTGGGTATATATGGCGGGTATATATGGAGGGTATATATGGGGACTTTCAGGTGCACTTTATACTTACACTGAGTGGCCAGATTATTATGACCACCCCATCAGTACTTCGTTGGGCCGCCTCGTGACTCCACGAGATGTTGAAAGGTGATGCGAGGAATCTGACACTGCACTGTTGCCCTTCTGTTGTCTTGTACCAGTCTTGCCAGTCTCCGTTCTGCCCTAACATTGACTAGTCGCTGACGGCCACAATTCACACGCTCAGACCCAGATTTTTGGCTGACAGTCCAGTCTTTAAACACTTTAACAACAGCTGCTTGTGAACATTTAACGAATTGTGCCGTTTTGCTGCTACTCGCTCCATGGCTCCGAGCGCCAACAATCATCCCACGTTCAAAGGCTGTTAAATCGCGTTGTTTACCCATATCTTCAGAAACAAATCACTTCTACTGTCGTGGTAAACAACCTGCTTCCCTATTTATAATGGTCTGGCCCTCTAGCAACTTCAGTGCGAAATTATAGCTAATTTGCCTACAAACGTCAGGTGGTCATAATAATCTGGCCACTCAGTGTATAGTTACTATAGATTTTTTTTTTTTTTTATTTCAATTACATATATTTTTTTGAAAGCGGAAGTAAACCGATCTGCGACGGGTGAGATTTTTGCCATAATGTGCAAGTATGCGCAGCACAGCATACCTGCCCATTTTGGCACACTTACCTTACAAGTGTGTCCTTCTCCAGCCCTATTGGATCCATCCCCCACTGCTGCCATCGCCATGGTCACTTTCAGGTTCTGTGCAATTCCTCTTTGGTCATTGGGTGGTCACTGAGGTAACTCCTGCACATGTGCACAGGAGTTGCATCCACCCTGGCACCTGGCCAATCTCTATGATGCCGTGAATAAGCTGAGTGTACACACTGCATTGCGCGTGTGCCACACAATGTACCCCCAAAAAAAATAGCTGGGGGAAAATGTAGAATCTTTTTTTCTTCTGCCAAAAATCGCCATCTCCCAGCAATTTGTTTATTTTCACACTTTACTTCCACTTTCAAATAAGTGAGAAATAGATAATCCGCGCTTCTGGAAAGGAGACTAAATTGGAAATGTATAATAAATTAAGACCTAAAGCAGCTCTAAAAAGAGGATAGAAGAATCCTATCAACAGTCGAGAAAAATATATATCAAAGCGCTAAAGGTATAACTAATATGAAACTTAGTACGATCAAGTGATATAGTGAAATTAGGGTTTAGGTGGTCTAGCCCTAAACCAAGTGATATGTCTTACATAGGATCATAAAATAAAAAATAAAATTAATAGTTCAATTGTGCTGTGGAAAAACAAAAAATGATTGGGACAAATAAAAAATTTCAACCACTGTGTAAAGACCTCAAATATATAACAATATATAAACGATCCGTGCAAAAAATATATATAAAAAAATTGGGATAAAATGTTCAACGAAAAATAAACGTAAAAAACGTGTACAAAGGAAGTTGTTAATGATATATATTGATGGTGATATATATTTCGTAGCGGTGGTCCGACAGCCCCTCTTGGGTGGGTACTCACCAAATGGAGTTGGATCGAAGGCTTTTAGTTAGTGACACTTGAGCCTGCAATCGTGCTTTCAAACTTGGACCCAGTTGTTTTTACTCTCAGTCCCTGCAAGGTGAGTGTTTGGTTTTTCTTCCTTGTAGCGCTGGCTGTATCCCAGAAGTGAAGCTGGATCGTCTCAGGCGCAGTGTCAACGAAACTCCTTGCCGTGGTCCTTTTGGAATGTCCGTGTGGACTCCAATACGTTGGCAGGACCACTCTGGAACCTCTTGTTCTTACAGATAGCAGAGGCCTATGGAGTGCAGTAGCAGTCTGGCAGGTTAGAAAATCTTGTTTCTGCTATTTTGCTCAGCTGCACAATAGTTTGCAGGTTACCTCGGAGGTAACCTGCAAACTATTGCACTTGGTTTAGGGCTAGACTGCCTAAACCCTAATTTCACTATATCACTTGATCGTACTAAGTTTCATATTAGTTATACCTTTAGCGCTTTGATATATATTTTTCCCCACTTTCAAATAAACCTGTTGCTTTGCTCTTTGTGGCCAAAGCATATGCTCACTGTAGGGACTTTCTCATGCCATAGAGCATGCTGGTATGCATTTGTAAGTTGCATTGCAATGCGTTTTGCACATTTGTTGCGGTGTGTTTTTTAAACCTTTTTATTTTACTTGATATTACAATGCATTGAACTGCGCTGTGTTGCATAACATTGTATCAGAACGCACTGTGCCAAAAGGGAATATGTTGGTTTTTTTTTCAATGTATACCATCGTGGCACGTTGCTGTGAGTTGAAACGTTAGAACATAAAGCAATTTGCCTTAATCTTTCGTTTGGACTGCGTTGGTGCCCAAAACATCCCAATGCTGCTGGTGTAAACGAGCCCTTTAATACTGTGAATTGTGTGAACTGGAGTCTAAAATACTGCAATATGTTTATGATGATAGAGAAGGTGTTTCGATATTCTGATCATCTAAGTCATATTTTCAAATATTTTAAACCCCTCATGACTAGTGCCAATTCTATGTGACCAGGGCAATTTCTATGTGACCTGTTTTGCTAGGGACTGATTTTGCTTTCTTTCGGTAGCAAATGCTTAGAAAAATAATATTTTTATATTTTAACATTTTATGTTTATTGTTTCGGGGGAAAAAAGAGAAAAATTTGAAAAATGAAAACGGTTCAATTTTGTCAACAAAAGTGTGCAACAAGTCACATTTGTTTCCCTAAACAGTTCTCAGAATATTCTCCTGTTTGCACTGAGTAACCACTCACTGCCTTCACTATGTAGATCGAGGTGAGCAACTCCAGCCCTCCGGCTGTGCTTTAACTACAAATCCCAGCATATTTCTGCCTCTGGGAGTCATGTCTCTAACTGTAAGTCTTGCAATGCCTTATGGGACTTCCACAGCAGCTGGTGGTCCAGAGCTGCCCACCCCTAATGTAGATATTTGTTTCCATGAATGATGTCCTGTGCTGAGGGAATGTTAATCTATCTTACCTCTTTAATGGGAAGCAGCTGACACTGACAGGTTTAGACCCACAAATAAATGGGAACCAATCAAAGTAGTCCCTGATCATCTGATCATCATGTCAGATTAACGTCTGATCACATGCAGGCTGGAGGCTTCATTCACAAAACACACACACACACAGGTTACATCTCCAACCTTGTCTCAAAGTATCACCCTAACCGTTATCTCCGCTCCTCCCAAGACCTTCTGCTCTCTAGCTCCCTGGTCAACTCCTCCCATGCTCGCCTTCAGGACTTCTCTAAAGTGTCTCCCATTCTTTGGAACTCCTTACCTCAACCTGTCCGTCTATCTCCCACCTTGACTGCTTTTAGGCGATCACTAAAGACTCATCTCTTCAGGGAAGCCTATCCCACCTCAAACTAACCACTGAACTATCTCTTTCTCAAACAATTCATGCGCACACAGCTACCTCCTCATGTATCACTTTCCCCTGCCTCTTAGATTGTAAGCTCTCACGGGCAGGGCCCTCCTTACCATTGTGTCTTGAATTGTATTGTAATTGTCTTCCCTATGTTGTAAAGCGCTGCACAAACTCTTGGCACTATATAAATCCTGTATAATAATATATATAGTTTTTTTTTTACCATATCTCAGTTGCCTCAGTAGGACTTCCAGACTCTCTAGGACTCACTAGGACTTCCAGACTCTCTAGGACTCCCAGAAGAGGGCAGGGCTAGGACTCCCAGAAGAGGGCAGGGCTAGGACTCCCAGAAGAGGGCAGGAGGAGAATGGTTGAAACTCCCAGAAAACTGTAACGTATATGTAAGGAAGGAGAGGGCTGTGCTAGAGAACGTACTAGCCAATTTGTCTAGCAAGTTTAAAGGTACATTGCTTGTGAATAACAAAATAAAATGATTTATAAAAAATCAAAAACACTGCAAGTAAGCATTTAAAATACTTGATTTGTATGTACATTTACCTGCAATATTTTAGTTAGTCACAGGGTCTTTTTAGGCCACAGCTAGTATTTATGAATTAGTCTGGCTATACTGGATTGAACCAGATCAGAGCCATTGTTACTGTAAGCAGCGTTTTGAGGCCACATAAGTGGCTGCTTTTTTAATCAGGCTCGTCATCTGGTAATAACTGTTGGTAAATATAGAATTTATATTTAATATCCACAGAAGTAAAACAAATATCAATACAATGATATCTTTAAACAAATAATGTGTTAATATATAATCCATGTTAAATAACCTTGTCAATAAGAAGTGTAAACATCAGAGAAGTGAAGCACTCACCGCCTCTTTGATCTCACAACTGAACACATGGATGTGAAAGTCATCGGAGTCAGGTTCTCTGGATGTGAACGCGAAGCAGTCACATTCTGATGTCCCGTCTCGTCCTCGCACACAGAACAAAACTTTGTAGATTGGGAATGATGCGATTTCTGAATTGGAGGATTGGTCCATTATTCTGCAACAAAATGAAAAATCATTAAGTTGTGCAAAGCTTTTTTGAGTATGGGATTTCCTTTCCTATCACCATCCCTTCTGTCCACATAACCACAGACCTTAGATACATGCCAGGAGCACATCGCACTGAACATGCTTAGCCAGGAGCCGTATGTTCATGTTTGTTTTCTATAAAGCCATGCATGCACCAAGCACTGCCACTCAGAATAATGGCCATGTAAACACCACACAGTGCCTGGCTGTGACGGTTTAAAGGGTCAGTGTACTGCAGCTACACCTAGCCATACACTGTTAGAATTTCAGCCAATATGCAACAATTGGTGTGGGTTTCCCTGCTGGCTCGACAAAAGGTTGTTGAAGGAGCCAAGCTGAAAATTGTCAGCCGAACAGCTGCAGTCACTGTTTGGGTATTCTGACAGCAGCAGGCGCCCACGGTCAGAATTCAATTGCCACAGCGTGAGATTTATCCAACCATGCCATTTAGATTTCTTTTTTGCAGGCTGAACGAATAAAGTCAAATAGCATACGGCCAGCTTTTTTGCTGCATTCAACTCACCAAGGTAATCTGCAGGACAGCAGAAATGATACTGCACACAAGTACAGCAATAATTTAAAGATTCTACAGATATAACATGATCATCCGAATGATCAAATAGTTCCTCCAGTCACTGGGGAAGCTAGACATTCTGTCACCCGGGGCAAAGGCTGAGTTGCTCCCCCCACCCCAAGGGAGAAGTTCTCCATTCACACAACCAGTGGCGCCGCTCCTAAAGCAGCACGCAGGGCACATGCCCCGCCCCCCCCAGCTTTGGCCCTGCCTCCAATGGCTACCTTGTTATTAGGCCCTTGGTCAGCATCCTTACTACATGTTGAGATAAAAATCAATTAACTACCCAGACAGTCTAGTGTTTTCATCTTGTCTGAGCTGGTTTTCCTTGACACGGAGATAAACAGTAATGCGCAATCACTGTGCAACACTACTAAACAGGTAGCACAGCTAATTACATGTGATTGGACTTCCTAAAATTAATTATAGGGAGAAGCAAGCTAAAAACATTGAGGGATTAGGTTGCATAATGAAAACCAAAGAGGGGAATTAATCAAAACTGAAACAAACAGAATATGGAGCAGTTGCCCATAGCAACCGTTCAACTTCTCTCTGTTTAGTTAAGCTTTGACAATGAAAGAGATAGGCTGATTGGTTGCTCCAGATTCTGTCTGCTCCAGTTTTGATAAATTCGCCTCCTTGTGGCTAAATAAAATAAAATGGCAGTAAAGAGAAACAAATAAGAAGGAACCTGACCGGTCAGTAAAGGGCACCAATTCAGGTCTAGCTCTAGTTCCCAGCTTCATCCTATTAGGCAGACCCCATTGTGTGTCCATGTCCTTAGCAGAGAACTCCGCGCTGCGCTCACCTGACAGAACCCTCAGGAACATTGGGGACATAGAGAGTGACAGTGACAGCAGAGGAACAATGCGCTCTCATTGAAGCCATAGCTCGAATGGCCTCCGTCTCACTGCGTGGAGCCGAAACCTTCATGTGGCCTAAATAGGACAGCTTGTGAAAGGAGACGCTTTCCTCTTCTGGGGGGTTTGTTGACGTGCTGCCATTCTGCGCTGGAACCTCTGAAATAATAATACGTTCAGTTACATCAAGATTAGGCAGGCTGTGTAAACCAATAAATCACCTCTGACTAAATAAATAATAAAAAAGAGGAAAACGTGGCAATTTCACTGATGTCACCCTCCTTTCCATAGTCAGGGGTTCTATTAGTGCCAACAACTTCAAATGAATATGTTTACATTTAAAATCTACACTTAAGGAAGCAGTCAGTGTCCACATAAGTAAACATATAGAAACAAGCGTTCAACATGGCGTTATGCTTATTGAAAGCCTGATGTAATTCTATGGGCCGGCGCAGTGGTGTCCCTAGTCTTTTTGCCGCCTGAGGCGTGGGGGGGTGCACACAATCAGAGCAGAGGGAGGTGGGTAGAGGAGACAGAGCTGCTAGACATGAGTGACGCCGCCCTCTGCAGGCTCTGCATCACTCCGCCCGCCTATTAGCAACCTGGGGTGCTCCGGACGGCGTCCCGCCCAGCTTCTGGCAATCAATGGCGCCAAAGAGTCCCAGGTTGCTAAGAGCTGGGTGGGGAGATGTGTATGGCCCGTACACATCTCCTCATTTGGCTCTCAGCAACCTGAGACACACTGGCTGGAAAGCGGGCAGCAGGCACACTGCAAACATTGTGCAGTAGAGCATCCATGCTGCTCTGCCTGCTGCAGCCCCCCCTACATGACCCGAAGAGATTCCGCAATGGCCTCAGACTGCCTCATTAAAGTGAAGGCCCTGGGCCTGCCGAATGTAAACAGAGTCCTACTAGGGCTGTGCACTGTATTTTTTGGTGCAATATGTATACATTAGGACTGACCTGTATTGTTGGGGTCCAAGACTAATGTTAGTGGGGGATTTCTGGCACTGAAAGTAGAGGACGCCGCACTCATCTCAGCAGGGTCGTCACCAGTGTGTGAGCTGAGATTCTGCTTCTTTTCTGAATCTCTGAGAATTTCTTCCATTGCTTTCTCCAGCTGTTCATCTCCATTTGACATTATCTGAAAACAAATAGCATGAGTACCAACGTTTGTGACCTCAAACTAAACGTACAGATATACAAAGCACACAGAACTTTATCCATCAAACCAAAGAGCTACGCATGGAGTGCACCAAATCCCAGCAGCCAATACCCTTAAAGTGGAACTTTATCCATCAAACCAAAGAGCTACGCATGGAGTGCACCAAATCCCAGCAGCCAATACCCTTAAAGTGGACCTAGTACGCAGCCCCCGTCCTTCTCTATGTGGCTACACGGACGTACGCCCCCCTACGCTCACCTCAACTGCAGGTCCGTAGGGGTGCGGGTTTTCTGGCCGGGACGCATACAGGATCCATTCCGGCGGCGTATGAATACGTTCACCCGCACCCCTAAGGACGTGCAGGGCGGGCCAGCGTTGGGGTGCGTACGGCCGTGTGGCCCCATAGAGAAGGACGGGGGCTGCGTACTAATCACACGCAGCACCTGTCCTTCCCGGCAGCTGCTTGGTACGGCCCCGCATGCAGCACGGAGCTGTACGCGCAGGCCGATTCGTGTGTGTATGGGGCCTAAAGGTCCACTTTAAGTAGTTTTAAACTCTCAAACATTTGTTTAGTAATGATTCCAGATCAAACAAATGTACATGGTCCAGCAAAGTATTTCTATACAATTAAGCCCAAGAGCTTACAGTCATCAAGGGGAATTTATCAAAGCTGGAGCAGACAAAATCTGGGGCAGCTGTGCACAGCAACCAATCAGCCTCTGTCTTTCATTTTCATATCTTAACTGAACAAACTGAAGAGAGAAGCTGATTGGTTGCTGTGCACAGCTGCTCCAGATTTTGTCTGCTCCAGTTCTGATAAATTCCCCCCCATTGTGTTTGTGCACAGCTGGTTCCAACGCTCTCAGCTCTTTTCCTGAACATCCTGTCTAGTATAAGATCACAAGGGATAGCACAGTCTCCAGCTGCCGTCCACCTACTAGATTAGACAAGGAAAGAGGGGAGAGTGGGGAACAGGGGGGTGCCTTGGTCTACCTGTGTGTTTGTGGTAACGCACACAGCTTACTAGCACACACAAGGGTGACTCCACAGGACACTGAATAGGAAAGGAGCCACCCTAAAGGACATCAGGGCCAGTGCTCATGGGACCAGCTGCTTCTCCAGGAAATAAAACTTTTAAACATTAAGAAGCAGCCTCCATTGTACGTGATTTTATCAGCATTTGAAATAGTGATATTAAAGCAAAATGGTTTTAAAGCTATCTAAATCCAAGAACAAGAAGAAAGATGTAATATATTGAAGCTTACCTTTCCTTAGATGTGGTGGCTGCATTAGTTTTCTTTTTATGGCTAAGTTTAGTTTCAGAAAGAATACTACATGTCCTAGTAGATTCCTATGCACTGAACTGAATCCCCATAAATGTTATCAGCTTTTCCAGCTATGTCATCAGCTTTTCCAGCTATCTTCTGTAAACTACAGAACCCCTGTCCTCTATGTATTGGGCAAGATGAGGTGCTTGTAGTCTAAATCGGGAGAGCTCATTCTATAGATACAGTTCTGTGAGTGCATGTTGTCACTCTAGGACAGGAAGTGTGTTAGTGGCAGAATCACCAGATGAGAAAAAAGAAAACAACAACAAAAAAAGAAGAAAATACTGTAGAAAAGGAATTAAGACACCACTTGTGAAATATGTATATAACATATCTCCATTTTATTTTGCAAACTTGGCCAACTATGTTGGTGAAAACAAATTTACTTTAAGGGCCCGTTCACACCATCCAGTCCGCTCATGTCACAGTTCGGTGACATGAACGCACTAAATTGCATAATAAAAAGCCCCCCGTGTCCTGGGGTGTGAGGGGCATGGCGGTGCCATTTAAATGAATGTGAGATCACCTACACCGGAAGACGTGGTACAGCAATGCCCAGCGTTCCAGTGCGGTGCGATCTCAAAAAAAACGTGGATGCACGTTTTTTGGGATGACATCACACTAGAACGCCGAGCATTGCTGTAGCATGCATTCTGGTGCTGGCAATCACACAGGGCGGGAGGAGTTTCTGCGGTGCCATTACAATGAATGCCACCACTACGCCCCCTCCCAACCCAGAACGCGGGGAGGCCTTTGATTATGCAATCCAGTGCGTTCATGTCACAGAATGTACTGGATGGTGTGAACGGGCCCTTATAGCGTTCTCATACCTCTAACCATTATCCCCGGATACAGAGAGTTGGGTTCCTGTGGATAGTCATTCACAACGTTCCAGAAAACTAAGCATCCATTACTAGAGAAGATCTACGGCCACAGACAGCAATACATTTTTACATTCTAAACCAGGGGTAACCAACCTCCGGCCCTCCAAACTTGTAAAACTGCAAATCCCATTAGGTCTCATTCACATGGGCGTGTATATGCATACGGCATCCACACCCCTGCACAGACCTGCTCCCAGGAGGGACAGATGCTACGTGTAACTGTGTGCAGCCACCTGTACCTACCTATGGGAGGATGCAGCTGCATGTCTTCCCGAACCTACACATTCATGCAGGTCCAGGTTGGTGTATAGCCACCTGCCGCCGTGTCCTCCCATAGGGAGCTACAGGCGGCTACAGGCAGCTGCACGCAGCAACTTTTCTTTACCAGGAGTGGGTTTCTACAGGGGTGTGCATGCTACATGGATATGCACACCTGTGTGAATGAGCCCTTTGGGATTGCAAATCTCTAGCAGCCACAGGCTTGACTTCCAGAGGTAGGTGTATAATGCTCTACTAAAAATTTGTTTGTTTTATTGTTGCCTGTGTGTGCACTCATTGTCCTAATTTCCCCTTAGTTCCTCTTCTGAATCTGTCTAATAGGAAATGGGGAGAAATAAGCTAGGCTTTGATTCAATTATTAACCTCTTGCCGTCCGCCCGTAGTAAAAAAACGGACGGACGGCACTGCAGCATCTGCGGGTTGCCGTCTCCAGACGGCAATTTTTTTCTGCTCGCGCGCGCCCCCTAGCGGGCACGCACGGGCAGAAAAGACCCGCTAAATGCACACACCCGTTACCGGGTGTTTCACATATAGGCGATCGGCGGGACCTTAATATAGTAAAAAAATAAAACCCCCAGTGGTGAATAAATACCACCAAAAGAAAGCTCTATCTGTCCCCAAAAAAGGGTATAAAATTCATTTCAGTACAGCGCTGCATGACGGAATAAATGTCAGTCAAAGTACCGCAGCGCTGAATACTGAAAAATGGCCTGGATGGGAAGGGGGTTTAACACCGCGGATGTCAACTGGTTAAAGTATTTTGCATCATGACAGGTCGAACCTTGAGCTGTGGCTTGTCATCCAAGTTTGAGGAACCATCAACTAGTACAAAGTCTTCACTGTTTAGTGTTGGTGGGAAATCTGCTGAGATGCTGGAATTCTGTAGAGCGGACTTGTCATCCATTGCTGTTATGCTGCACGATAATATTGACCCAAAGCTTGACCATCTGTGAAAAAATCAGCACATAGTTACATAGTATTTGAGGTTGAATAAAGACATTAGTCCATCAAGTCCAACCTATTAAATGCTTTGTTACTTAGGTTTTGAGATAGCATGACGTCATATGTAGTCCATATAGCCCAGTGCTGGACAAATCCCAAGAGCAAGGTAGCCAATGCTCCTTAACAGCTGGTGCCCAACTTTTAAGGCTTTTTCTAATTGCTGTCAATGGATCTGGCTCCTAAAAAACAAAACAACCTGCTGGCTACTGGTATGGACAGACTGGCTCCTGAATTCTATAATAATTTGTCACCCCTGTTATTAACTTTATGATATTTAGGCTTCGTGTTTGGAATTTCCCATACAGTCTGGGATGGGCATAAAGTTCGTGCTGCGGCATGCGGGTCCAACAATACAAAGGGGATACAGGTGGTCAGAAAAGAGGGGTGCCCTTTCTTTTATGGCAGATCTCCCTCTGGGCCCACTTGTAGAAAGACTACAAAGTAAGCCATTATTGTCTAAAATAAAAGTAGAGCAAAAGAGCAAAATCCACAACTGAAATACATATAGGTCAACAGTTTCACCTGACATATCTGCAATCATTCTTGTGTTTCACACACCCCTGTCACACTATACCTACACAGGTATAATGTCTCACCTTCCTGTCTCACCTTTCTGAATGACAATTGCTAAACACACATACACTGTGTTCCTTATGCCCTGTTGGACCATATACAAATCTCTGCTTGCAGCCAGCGATGACTGAAACATGTTAGGGTGACAACACTATGCAATTCAATAGTACCTAATTCACTTACAGTAATACTACCGCCATTAGCAGATTGAGCTGTGATGTACATATCTTTGCTATTTCGTATAAAAGATAGCATTTATGCCTTTTGAATGCTGTATTGTATCTAAACCTTATTGTCAATGTTTTTCACTTAATTTCAATAAATACTATTATGGAAAAAAAAATAGAATTTAGGTAATTATACCGCCATACTATTATACTAGAGCCTCGTTTACCAATATCCCAGTCCATTGTGCCATCGTACAATCAGCTTCTCTCTTTTATACCAGACCTTCACACACACAAAAAAAAAATCTCATAACCCCATTTATTTAGTTAAGTTAATGCATGCAACCTACTGATGAAACACGCAAATGTGCACTTGCTTTATTACATGGTATAGACTGCTAGCTTGCTCTATCCCCTGCTCTACCACTCCAATGGATGAAGCCAGTGCCATGTTGCAATCTTCTCCATGTTTCATTCCCTACTGTGCCTTCTCCCCTCTATGGAAATCCTTTGAAATCACAGAACAGTAAAGCCTACCCTGCAGGGGGGTATCATAGACCCTATGCTGGAGATCTATGCTGTTGTCATCTTGGCATATGCGCTGGTTACATCCTGACATGTAAGGCTGGCGAGAATGTGCGGCAATCTGCACAGGGGGAAATAAAATTACTGGAAGGGGAAAAACAGAATAACTTAGGAACGAAAAGGCTTTTGCAGATGGGGATGATGGATACAACAGTATGTGCATTATGATATTTCAATGAGGACAACTTGCAATGATGACTTTACTTCGGCTTTAATATTAGAAAATAAATATTTGATTGGCTGCTGCAGGACAACTAGGATGGAAGGTTTTCCTCAACATATTGCATTTACATTAGATTAAAAGAGAAGTAATGCCCAACCTTTTTTTTGGGCTAGACTTCTCTGCTGGGTCACATGAGTAAAGTTAGTTTAAAGAAGAACTCCAGGCAGAATTATTCCTAAGTTCCATACATCTGTTGTCACTTACACCATATCCTTTCATATATGCGGTGTACACTTTATTAGAATTCACTTTGAATCTCTCCCACTTATTGCTGAGTTCCTATTTCCTTGTCTAGAGGAGTCTGAATGCCTCCACTGCCTCCACTGACACGCTCTCCGAGTTTGCTCACATTTCATCACATTTGACTCTGAAAGCATAAAGGGATTTAAGCTGATATGGTTCATATCACAACTTTTCCAAGCAAACAGCTCCTGTCCAAACAGCAGTTGCGATTGAACAATGCCAGAGACAACAATGAAGCCTATAAAGCCCAACTCCACCTCTCTGAAAAATGTGATACTGTAAGGCAGGGCAGTGAAGTCATCAACACTGAGACTGTATCTAGTTCCTCAAGTGGAGCTCTTGAACTATGTATCGTGAATAAGAGGAAATTGATAAGCTTTGCATGTTGACAATAATGAAACACTGTCAGCTAAAACCTTGATTATTTTTGCATTTAGAGAGCTATCTGTTTGATGGTTGGAGGCAATTTCCCTCCATTTCCTTTTACAGTGACACCCAGAATATTAGTGAGAGCTGAACTTCCTGTTTCCTGTCTCGGAGGACTGCTAGTACAACATTACATGCTGTATGACTTCTGACAGGCCTAGCACACGTTGTAGGACCAGAGAAATTCACTTTTGCATTACTACTGGCTACTAATCTGCCACTGACCACGAATGCCAGGGGCATTTTAAATAACACTGCCATTGATCATTAATGCTGAGAGTGGTTTAAATAGCACTGCCAGGGACCACCAATGAGGGGTTTATTATTGTGGTCATTGACACAAATCGGGGGGGTTTGAGGGTTGATATTGCAGCCACTGGCACCAATGCTGGGGGGATTATTATTATGCTCTTTGAGACTAACGCTGGGGGTTACTAATTAATTCACTGACATCAATTTTTGAGTTACTATTAGTGCCACTAATACCATTTCTGGGGGTGATTTTTGTGGTCACGGACACCAATGCTGGGCGGTTATAAATATGGTCACCGACACCAATGATAGGGGTTGTTATTATTGTGGTCACTGACGCCAGTGCCGGGGGGTTATTTTTGTGGTCACTGGCACTAGTCCTGGGGGTTATAAATATGGTTAATGACACCAATGCTGGGGGTTGTAATTGTGGTCTCAGGCGCCAATGCTGGGGGTTATTGATATGGTCACTGATGCTATTAAAGAGAGTTAATAATGCATTCACTGACGTCAATGCTGGGAGCTATTATTACTGCCACCAACACCAACGATGGGGATTATTTTACTTTCTCCTTTGTGTGTTAGGGTAAAAAATACAGCACGATAGGAATTTTTGGCCGTTGAGGATGAGGCCACTGAGGCCGCATTACAGAACGCTGCATTGAGTTAGACCACCCAATCAAAAATGGTCCGTCTATCGCATTGCACTGCTCTTCAACAAATGTAAATGAGCTGCTACTGTGTGGCCCTCTATAACTTTCAAGTTGACCACCACCACTATATATGCAGGTTGCTCCTAAATCCGTACACTTCTCAGATCTTCTTCTGTCTAGATATATTTTTAGGACTAGAGCCTTCATGATCGGAATGGAACAAATGGCTAAACAGGAAACAGGAAGTTAATTAGATGGTGTTTTCTAATACCTGGCAGAGGAAGCGCTCACAAAAATAGCAGAGAAATAAGCGCTGCTTTCCTTTACTAAGAAAAAAAAAGTAGAAATATTCTGTTAAAGCTTCGATAGTCAACAAGAGTGTGTCATATCTATAACCACACGAGAAATGTATAATTTATTATAGTGTGTGTATGTATACCTGATCCTGGAAGCCTTTTTTTTTCATTTTGACGAAACAAAAAATGAACAAATGCAAATTTTAATAATTTGCATGTCAAACAATAAAACGGATTAGGGTTAAAGTAAAACCCTACTCCAGGCAGAAGAACCCCCTCCCATCCACCACCCCCTGCACTGCAAGGGTTTAGTGCCACTTTGGTTTTTTTAAGAAACCGGGATAATACTTACCTTATTCCTCGCTGACCAGTCCCCTGTTGCTTCTTCTCTAAGGGCTTGTTCACACCAAATGCACACCAGATCTGCATGAGTTTCTGCACACGCAGTGCAGTGTTTTGCCGTGTTTTTGCCACATTCCAAGCCGTTTTTACCTAAAATGGGCTTTCAGTGCGTTCCAGGCCGTTTGCATGTGTTTTTGATGGGTTTGCATGTGTTTCAAAGCAGGTAAAATAGGGCTTGCTGCAGTTGTTTTACATGCTCTGGAACTGAACGCTGCGGTGTGAACTAGAACCCAAAATACCATTGGAATACATTGGACACAGTTTTGGTCCGTTCTGTAACTGCTCTGCTCCTGGAATGCGCTTGGTGTGAACTAGCCCTAAGATGCTCTGGACGACAGTTGCACTCTGATGTCATCAAGTACAATGCAGGACTAATTGCCCTGCATTAGTGATGTTCAGATACCAAGTATCGTACTCGATACAAGTATATGTACACATACTTTTCCAGCTCCAGGACTAGACTAGAGAAAAATTAAAAATTTAGGAGGCAGCTGTCATTTTTACGGAGCATACAGCGCTCCTGGGTACAAAACGTAACGCTCCGGTAGCCAGAAAACAGCTGACGCCATCAAGTACAATGCCCATAGCCCTGCATTATATGGGTGAACACTGAGGGACAGTCCACAAGCCAGAGCGTATGGAAGCTAGGTGAACGCCTACTGTTGATGTAGCAGGGATCAGGTGGGTAAACCTACTTTTCCCCATTACCCTAGACCTAAATGTGCAATTTTTTTCACCCAAAGATAGACTTTAAAGCGAAAGTGAAGTGGTTAATAAATTAAAGAAAAAAAATACTTCGGAGGCGTTTGCCATAATATGCACAGCATATAAGCACATTACGTCCAACTTACCTTTTAAGAGATCCCCCTCTAGCGCTGCTCTATCTACTTTCCCCTCTGCTGCTCTCCCAGTCCTCCTAGTCTTCTTCCAGCTTAAGCATCTTCGATCTCTTGATTGGCTGGGCTGGCATGATGTAACTCCAGCACATGCATACGGAAGTTACTTAATTTTGGCATACCCCCTTGCCGAGTCTGTACACTGAGTTACGCATGCGCGACTCAGTGCACAGTAAGAAAAAAAAA